AGCGCTGGTCCTTTTTCTACACTCCGGGACTTCGGCAATGTTTTCTGCTCTGGTGCTGGTTTTTCAGCTATATTTGTACGCCGAATTAACTCTTCTATTTCATTTTTTGGGGAATCCAAAAGCGTGTGTGTGAACGAGAGAGAGAGAGAGAGAGCACAACGAACTGCTTCAAGGCCTTGCTCAGAAACCAAACCCGGTGCATTATTTAAGATCTCCGTTTCTTTCTCTTGCTTCCGGTTGAATGATTTGTCACGATTATGCCACCATATATTAACAGAAAGGAAGGGAGACTGCATTTCTGAGCTGGAAGGGAACGTATTGCATGTTTCAGAACTTATATTCAGGGGATGAAATCTATGCGGCATCTGCTCGAGTATTGATATGTCAGCCACACCGACGCCGCTTCCAGCAGGGAATGTCACACGTCTTGAAGGTCACTGAGGATAAAAACGAAACATGGATCATGTGTTGCTGTTATTTGGGAACAAATCGAACTGGAAGCAGCAAACCTCCACGGCGGATTCTTCCCCTTGTCGATTGGATAAGCATTCCAGGACTCCTGAGATTTTTACAACTGTAGTGGACCCCGAAAGAGCACAGCTTTAATTAATAAAACATGAACCGGTATCTTTCTCGCCTTAAATGTACCGCAGTCTCCCCCTCCCTCACCTCCCCGCAAGAGTCGCCGCCGCCGCCGTGGTGTTTTTGCAGTTCCTCTAAATGACAAGATGATTGGGTTATGTATGAATGTAATTCTGCATGCTGTGATGTGTCGTACATCATGTGAGCGGACTGCACAGCGACAAACAGACAGACGGACAGATAGAGAGAGACGATTGAGATGCATTGTGCACGCCGAGAGTCTCCACTCAGTTAAAACCAACAGAATTGTCTTGTTCAGGCCTGAAATGACACAAAAAACACACGCTCGCATGGGATGCCATTACTTCAGAAATCCAGCGCTCTTTTATTTTCCCTTCCGATTCTCTTCTAGGAGAAGACTCTCCTCATAATTTGTCGCATATACAGCCTCATTGTAATTTGATCCTGATTGATTTGCATATTGATGAAAAAAAAAGGGGCCTTGCATGTGGTGAAACCGGCAGAAACGCCAGGCTGCTCCTTTCTAAGCCTCCAGTGCTTCATTTGTTTTTGGGGGATTGGTACATGTGTAACGTGAATGACCTGAAGATGGATGATATACTGTGAATTAAAATCCACTTCTTTATAAAGAGGGTGATGTAAGTGACGGGCCTGATCTTTTGTTTTCCTGCTGCACGCACACTCAAACGCACACACACACACACACACACACACACTGGTGCGCTGCTCCTCTGAGGTTTCATTGAACTGCAGTGTCCTGGAAGGGCTGCGCAGAAACTCTGCAATGCACAACTGCTCTAACCTGCACATCTCTGAACACATCGTGTGTGTGTCTGTGTGTGCTTGTTTATGTGGTTTACGAGGACACATTATAGTATAATGACATGCATATGACCTAGTTTGTCGATATTAAAGTGGCTTACGAGGACATACTTGTATCCTAGTGTCTTTTGACATTGAAATTTGCCATAGGTTGTCCTCTTAGGGTTGGGTTGAGGAGTTGGGTAAGGTCATATCATAACCGTATAACAGTATAAAATACAATACACCATTAGAGAGTCGTTCGTAAACCATATATACAAGTGTGATCTTGTTTATGTGGTTTGCAAAGACACAATTTCGAATAATGGCATGGGTATAACCTCTATTAAGGTGCTTACAAGGACATGTATTGCGTTCTTGTGATTCAAGCGCTTCGCAGGATTCTTTTGACATTGAAGTTTGCCATAGGTTTCCATTCAGGGTTGGTTTCGGGGTAGAGTAATGTTATATAGTAACGTAACAGTATAAAATACATTACACCAATGGAAAGTCTTTGTAAACCTTGTACAAGCGCGTGTGTGTACTTGTTTATGTGGTTTACGAGCACACATTATAGTGTAAAGACAAGGATATGACCTAATTTGTCTCTAATAAAGTGGCTTACGAGGACATACTGGTATCCTTGTGTCTTTTGACATTGAAATTTGCCATTGGTGTCCTCTGAGGGTTGGGTTTAGGGGTAGGGTAAGGCCATATAATATTTGTAAACCATCTATACAAGTGTGTGTACTTATTTATGTGGTTTATAAGGACTTGATATTGTAAAATGGCAAGGGTTTGTCCCATATTAAGGTGGTTTACAAGGACATCTCTTGTGACCTCGTAATTCAAAATGCTTTTTTCAATTGGGGTAGGGTCATATAATAAACATATAACAGTAACTACATTATGCAAATGGAGAGTCGTCAGTAAACCATATATTTTAGTTTGATCTTGTTTGAGGTTTGTGAGGACACAATTTTGATGGGTATGACCTCTATTAAGGTGTTTACAAGGACATATATTGTGTTCTTGTGATTCAAGCGCTTCACATGATTATTTTGACTGAAATTTGCCATAGGTTTTTATTCAGGGTTGGCTTTAGGGGTAGAGTATATAGTGTTATAGAGTAACATACAAGTATAAAATACATTACACCAATGGATAGTCTTTGTAAACCATATACAAGCGTGTGTGTGTGTACTTGTTTATGTGGTTTATGAAGACTTGATATCGTATAATGGCATGGGTATGACCTCTATTAAGGTGGTTTACAAGAATATCCCTTGTGACATCGTAATTCAAAATGCTTCATCAGGGCCTTTTGACATTGACATTTACCACTGGTTTCCTGTAAGGGTTGGGGTAGGGTAAGGTTATATAATAACCGTAGAACTGTAAAAAATACAATACACCAATGGAGATTCTTAGTAAGCCATATATGCAAGCGTGCATCCTTGTTTATGTGGTTTGTGAGGACACAATATTGAAGAATGGCTTTTGTATGACCTCTATGAATGTGGATTACAAGGACATTCATTGTGTTCTTGTAAGCCTAAATGCTTTACAAGGCATTTTGCCATATAAAATAACTGTATAACAGTATTAAATACAAGACACCAACGAAGAGTCTTTTTGAACCATTTATACAAGTATGTTCTTATTTGTATGGTTTATGAGGACACAATATTGTATAATGGCATGGGTATGACCTTTATTAAGATATTTACAAGGACATGTATTGTGTTCTTGTCATTAAAAACGCTTCACAGGATGCTTTTGGCATTGAAATTTGCTATAGGTTACCATTGAGGGTTGGCTTTAGGGGTAGGGTAAGGTCATATAACAACTGTATAACAGTATAAATTACATTACGCGAATTGAAAGTCTTCATAAACCATATACACAAGTGTGTTCTTGTTTATATGATTTACGAGGACACAATATTGTATAGTGGCATGGGTATGACCTCTATTAAGGGGTTTACAAGGACATGTATTGTGTTCTTGTGATTCAAACCGCTTCACAGGATGCTTTTGGCATTGAAATTTGCCATAGGTCTCAATTGAGGGTTGGCTTTAGAGGTAGGGTAAGGTTATATAATAACCGTATAACAGTATAAAATACATTACACCAGTGTTTCCCAACACTGTTCCCAAAGGCAAACCAACAGTACATATTTTGGATGTCTCCCTTATCTGACCCATTCGTTTAGGCTTTGGAGTCTCTTCTAATCTTCTAATGAGTTGATATAGGTGCGTTTGATTAGAGACAGGTTGAAAATGTGTACTCTTGATGTGCCTTCAGGAACAGGGATTGTTTACACTGATGGAGAGTCTTTGTAAACCATATATTCAAGTCTGTGTGTGTGTTCTTGTTTATGTGGTTCATGAAGATGTGATCTTGTATAACAGCAGGGGTATGACTTCTGTTAAGATGGTTTACAAGGACGTCCCTTGTGACCTTGTATTTCAAAATGCAGGGTCCTTTGAAATTGAAGTTGGCCATAGGTTTCCTGTGAGGGTTGGGTTTAGTGGTAGGGTAAGCTTATATAATAACTGTATAAAAACACAAAGTCCTTGTAAACCATACATACAAGTGTGTGATTGTTTATGTGGTTTACGAGGACACAGTATTGAATAATGGCATGTGTTTGACTTCTATCAAGGTGGTTTACTAGGACATATATTGTGTCCTCATAAATTAAAACACTACACAGGGTCTTTTAACGTTGAAATTTGCCATAGGTCTCATGTTCCGGTTGGGTTAAGGGTTATGGTAAGGCCATATAATAACAATATAACAGCATAAACTATTTCACATTTATGAAGTGTCTTTGTAAGAATATTTACAAGTGTGTGTGTTTTTGTGTCTACTTGTTTATGTTGTTTACTTTTAGGCACTTTATTGGTGTAATATTGTTTTTGCTGTTATATGTTTATTATGTGACCTTCCATAACCCTAAACCCAACCCGCAATGGAATCCTATGGCAAATTTCAATGTCAACAAGTGGTTTATGAGGACACAATGTTGTATGATAGCATGGGTATGACCTATATTAAGCTGGTTTATTATTACATGTATTGTGTCCTTGTTATTCAAAATGCTTCACAGTGTTTTTTGACATTGAAATTTGCCACATTCCCTGTGAGGGTTGGGTTTAGGAGAAGGGTGAGGTCATATAATACATATAATACCAGTATAAAATACATTACACCAATGGATGGTCTTTGTAAACCATACATACAAGTGTGTGTGGTTGTGCTTGTTTATGTGGTTTACGGGGACACTATTGTATAATGGCATTGGTATGACCTCTATTATGACATTTATTGTGTCCTTGTAATTCAAAAACGCTTCACGGGATCTTTTGACATTTTAATTTCACCACTGGTTTCCATTGAGGGTTGGGTTTAGAGATAGGGTAAGTTCATATAATAACTGTATAACAGCATAAAATACATTGCAACAATGAAGAAGTCTTTGTGAACCATACATACAAGTGTGTTCTTGTTTATGTGGTTTACGAGGACACAATATTGTATAACAGCATGTGTTTGAACTCTATCAATGTGGTTTGCTAGGACATTTACTGGCTTTACAAAGGCACTCTATTGGTGTCACATAGCTTTTGCTGGTTATTATATGACCTTACTCTAACCCTAAACCCAACTCTCAATGGAAACCAATGGCAAATTCCAATGTCAAAAAGGGGTTTATGAGGACACAATATTGTATAATAGCACGGGTATGACCTCTATTAAGCTGGTTAACAAGGACATTTATTGTGTTCTTTGTGTTCTTGTAATTAAATGCTCCACAGTGTCTTTTGACATTAACATTTGCCACATTTCCTGTGAGGGTTGGGTTTAGGGGTAGTGTAAGGTCATATAATACCAGGTTTAAAACATT